ATATATGTATATACTAGTGGCACCTTGGCTGTGCACGCACAGCCGACCCTAGTTCAGTCTATAATTATAAAATAGTAACTGAATTTTTGTGGGCTAAAAAAATTGTTGCTTAAAATAAGTCCAATCTTACACATATATTGATCCGACTTGAAGAGTACACATACATACATACAGTCGATAAAACAGAGCAAACAAGTACCAAGAAATCATCAGCAAAAACAGAAAACTGAAACCAATTTTTCGATATCAATAATTACATATAATTGTTTTACGTAGAAAAGAATAGTAAGCTAGTCTAGTAAAGAAAAATTCGAGTTTCAAAGCTTACAAATTGGTTACGTCTTGTTGACAAACGGTCAAAATGGAGCAAATTTACAATACTCGACAAGTACTTAGATCCAACCGCATCATTTCCGTAAAATTTCTCAATTTCATCTTTCAGAGCATCCACTTAAGATACACATCAGAGGCAAAGAGCTCTCTCCTCGTTTGGGTGTTAGGTAAATCATTTTCAATGCCAGCCTGCCCCTTTCCATGAACCCCATCCGTTCGCCGGCGGACTCATGTTACTCCACTTGTCATAATACCCAAACTGAGACCAACACAAATTATTATGAAATCAGAACCTTTAATCTAGGTGAGTGTTAGCGAACTGTATATTTTGGGATATTCTGTTAGACGACTAACCCAAGATTTACAAAATGCTTTTTATTAATTGCATAGATAGGCATTAAGGACGCAAGATCGGAAAGCATAGAAACTAACGTTTTTTGGCATCTGCAAAAACACTTCAATCAAAACTTGCTCTTCACCATGTGCAGTCCCCAAAACGACGCCATACACGCTGGACGCGACTCCTTCTCAGACGCCGCCGCCCAAATGTTCGCATCTTGGGTCAACCGGCGCTGATCCTCTTCGGCCCCTCCTAATCCCGCTGATCTTCGCGGCGTTCATCTTCATCTGAGCTGCCAAGATTTGTAACTAAAAAATAAAATAAAATAAAACATACAGGTAACAATCTGACCCACTAATATTTTTAGGGAAAATATATTTTTATCAAATCTCGCTCACCCAAATCTCACTTTTTTTTGACATGCCGTATGGAATCGACCACAATGGATCAGCTGCAACTCCAGTTCTTCCATCTACAACTCTTCAAAGTCCTCTCCACGCAGCCAGACCCGACCAGGCATCGTTGTTAAACCCTAGGTTGTCGCTTAATATAACCGCACCATCACTTAATAAGTTCATCCATTGTTTTTCTACTGACGATGCAGTTAATGTAATATTAGATACAATTCAGTAATCCAGCAATGACTCATTTTCCACAATCACTTTCTTATTTAGCGGGTTTGATATTATCTAGTTATTAGCAAGTATTTTTCTTCGAGTAAATGTTTAGAGATTCCAGCATCAAACTTTTAACTACTAACATGCATAAACTTTCATTTGCTTGAGTTTATTTTCCCACACATCACGAAGGTCAATTTTAATAATCAAACCAAAAATCCCCTCGCAATTCCAACATCAGGTAAGCAAGCAGATAAAACATTCAAATTACTTGCTTAACAATCGAAAATCAATAACATCTACAATTCTTCGACAATGAATAAAACCCCATAAAAAACAATAATCAATAGCAAAATTACCATGCCTAGCCAAGGTATGGTCGTCCTTCAGTATCCGACCGTTGTAGATGAAACGTTGTTGTTGAGCGGGCATGTCACAACTTTGCGCCAACGCGCCATTAAATTCAGCTATCGTTGATTCGAGGCTCGTTTTCACCGAGAACTTAGAGCTGTTTGAGCCTCTAATGTTTACATTCACTTCCTCATTCCCGACAACACCAAAGCTGGACTCCGCCTCCCCACCTATTGATTCTTTTTAGTCGATAAATCTATGAAAAAAAAGCAACCATAGCCCTAGCTTAATTAGGTTGCAGCCTAGAGAGAAATGAGCAGAGAAGGGTTTATAGATATTTAGCAGTGAGGGACTCGACGTAGATATGGGCGGTGTGCTTGCTACCTTTGACGCATATGTGCACGTCGACGGAGGCAACGCTATGGTGGACGAGGAGGATGGGCTCCAATACCTTGTAGCATAGGATCTCGACTGGATCAACTCAATCGGGACGCTGTTGGTCTTCATCGGACCGCGGCCGCGCTTGAAGGTGGTGATCGCGACTGCCAGGAAAAACTATACCTTCAGATCAGCATTGCACAGTAGATATAAAACACCATTGAATTGTGGGTCTCTGAGTATCATGCGCCATTTACCTGGAATCATCAAGGTGAAAAGAAGAGTAAGACATAAATGAACTCAACTACAACAGAACTATTTTGACAAACAAACAACATGCCTCAACATTTGTCTTTGGTCGGAAAAACTGAAACAAGAAGCATCAGTAAACAACGTTTCAGCAGCTATTTTCGTTTTTATTCTATAAAAAGTCCCTAACTTTCCCCAACATATCTCTCCAGTTTTTTAACTTGGCACAAAACCTTCTGCACAAACACCTAGGCTTCAATGTAGAATGAACTCCATGCGGCTGGCCGCTTTCCTTTTGTGAGTATAGATATCAAAAAAAAAAAAAA